CAGTAAAAAATATTGAACAAAATCATGGATCAGATACTAAAAGTCTTTGTTAAACCTTTTCTTGTGCAAAGTTCATATGAAACACAAACATTTTAATCATCAAAACAGTGAAAATGTCAAATGTGTCACATAAACAAGTTTCCTTCCACTGAACAAGCAACAAAACTGTAGCTGTAACAAAATAATTTAGTAAAATACGCCAAAAAATACTCTAAAAATACTATACTGGTGATATATTGATACAGCAGCCCATGATATCGATACTGTATCATCACATTAAATGATATGATATACAGTGTTGGGGAGTAACAGATTACATGTACCGGAGTTATGTAATCAGAGTACAAATTATGAGTAACTGTATTCAGTTACAGTTACTGTTTCAGTGAGTGGTAATTGGATTACAGTTACTTTTTTTTTTTAAAATAAGTGGATTACCAGGTCTAAACAAGGTCTAAAACAAGGTCTAAACCAGGACTAAACCAGGCCTAAAACCAGGTCTAAACAAGGTCTAAAACCAGGACTAAACCAGGTCTAAAACCAGGTCTAAAACAGGTCTAAAACCAGAACTAAACCAGGTCTAAAACCAGGTCTAAACCAGGTCTAAAACCAGGTCTAAAACCAGGTCTAAACAAGGTCTAAAACCAGGACTAAACCAGATCTAAAACCAGGACTAAACCAGGTCTAAAACCAGGACTAAACCAGGTCTAAAACCAGGACTAAACAAGGTCTAAAACCAGGACTAAACCAGATCTAAAACCAGGACTAAACCAGGTCTAAAACCAGGACTAAACCAGGTTTAAAACCAGAACTAAACCAGGTCTAAAACCAGGACTAAACCAGAACTAAACATCTTATGTTACAATATCCTCGTCTTTGCTTCTCTACAGCAAACCAAGTAATCCAAAGTATTCAGATTACATTACTCACATTTTAAGTAATTTAATGGATTATGTTACAAACTACATTTTGGGGTATGTAATCTGTAATCTGTAGGGGAATACATTTTAAAAGTAACATTCCCAACACTGACGATATATCGATATTTCAGTATTTTTGCACACCCCTAATCATAGCACTATTGTAATTCAAATCATGTTTAAAGTGCTTGTATCGAGAACACTACAGACAGTCCTGCTGTAGTTAATCTGAGGTCAGTGCAGTGGATCTGATGAGGGCTGAGAGAGGTTAAACACTGAAATGGCGTTTTAGTGAGCTGCTGAAATATTTACGCACGATGATTCCTCTCTCTGCTCAGATTAAAAATACAGAGGTCTCTGACAGGACAAGGCGCTGTTAAAGCATCATTGAGTCATGAGGATTCAAACGTGTACGGTGCAAATGAATGTGGAAACGGATGTCGACCAATAGTGTGGCAGAAGGTTCTATACAGTGTTGGGAGTGTTACTTGTAAATGTATTCCCCTACAGTTTACAGATTACATACACCAAAATGTAGTTTGTAACGGAATCCATTAAATTACTTAAAGTGAGTAATGTAATCTGAATACTTTGGATTACTTGATTTGCTGTAGAGAAGCAAAGACGAGGAAATTGTAACGTAAGATGTTTTGTCTGCTAAAAGAAAATAAAAAGCCCAGACTTTACTGAACCAGATTAAAAATATTATTGATAGAAGAGGAGGAGACACGGTCCACACGGCATGGTTTAGTCCTGTTAAATCCTGTTTTAGACCTGGTTTTAGACCTGGTTTAGACCTGGTTTAGACCTGGTTTAGACCTGGTTTAGACCTGGTTTAGACCTGGTTTTAGACCTGGTTTAGTCCTGGTTTTAGACCTGGGTTTAGACCTGGTTTAGACCTGGTTTAGTCCTGGTTTTAGACCTGGGTTTAGACCTGGTTTTAGACCTGGTTTAGACCTGGTTTAGGCCTGGTTTAGTCCTGGTTTTAGACCTGGTTTAGACCTGGTTTTAGACCTGGGTTTAGACCTGATTTAGTCCTGGTTTTAGACCTGGTTTAGTCCTGGTTTTAGACCTAGTTTAGACCTGGTTTTAGATCTAGTTTAGATCAGATTTTAGACCTGGTTTAGACCTGGTTTAGACCTGGTTTAGACCTGGTTTTAGACCTGGTTTAGATCTGGTTTAGTCTTGGTTTTAGACCTGGTTTTAGACCTGGTTTAGTCCTGGTTTTAGATCTGGTTTAAACCTGGTTTAGTGTCTGGCAATGAGTGGAATTACCGAAAAAAAAAAAAAAAAAAAAGGGATATTGTTTTACGTCTCGTCTTAAAACCCACTTTTTTTCTCTGGCTTTGAACACCACGTGAGTTGTGTGGTCCTTTGTGTCTTTTATTTAGTTTATTTATTTTACTTATTTACAACTATTTTATGAATTTTATGGTTTTGCTTTTATTTGATGTTACTGGTTTTATTATTTTACGACCGGTATGACCACATTTTAGCAATTTACCTTTTTGTTGTCTTCAATTTATGACCTCTCTCTCTTTGGAAACTACTTTGTTTGTAAAATGTGCTATAGAAATAAAGTGGATTTGGATAAATTGACTCTTGTGAGCTATAAAACACGTTATAATGTCGTTACCTCATCAAAAACAAACCTGGAATTCAAAATGCTCTGTTCCACCTTGTGATGTTATGAAGCAGTAATTTCAAGTGAACAGCTCCATTTACCTTTTGTTTGTTCAGTAGAGATTTGTAATTCTGGGGTTGAAATGATCCAGTGGTTACAGTGAGGGTGTATGGAGTTTAAAAACACAGTGGAGCACTTCAGGTATTACCACATGACATCACGAGGTGGAACAGAGTGACTGGGAAAAGACCTCAGCCTAGTGTGTTTAAACATGTGTGAATGAAACAAAACACAACTCATTATCAGAAACTAGAGCAATATGGGCCATTTAAAGGTGCATTGTGAGACTTTTCTGTCCACCTGCTTGTCTCCATGGAAATGTTATTGCTTTGGCTGGAATGTTCCACAGTATGGTATATTTATCTACCAGTTATATCAGTTATATATGTGTGTTTTCATAGCGTGCTGGAGCCAACCGACAGGGCCATTTTCTAGATCAATATTTTAAAGGTGCATTGTGTAACTTTCTGTCCTGCTTGGATACATGGAAATGTTGTTGCTTTGCCCACAATGTCCTGCAGTATGGTAAACAAATGAAAAATTTAATGATTTTAAAGAAGACATATCGGGCCCGGTCAAGCAGAAGTAAACAGCAAGACCAAACATTCAAGTTAATGCATCTGATATAAAAATGTATTGAACAGATACATATGTACTCTAGTTTATGAAACTGTTGACCTTTTTTCCTGTACCATTTTTGGTTCTAAAGTTACATACGTTTTAAACAGACCATGTATGAAACATGGAACAAAAATTATTTCCCAAATTTCAAAGACCTGCAAATCATGTAAATAAATGGACGTATTTCATCATATCTTGTGTTATTCCATCTTTGAACTGTTGATGATTTTTCAAAAAAAATGTATTTAAAATGATAAAAATTTGCTTGGAAGGACTGACATATTTTATAGAAATAGTTTACCTTTCATTTTGAAGTAATATTAAAGTATTCGGAAGAAAAAAGTTGACAAATTATGTAAAATCATGCACCTTCTACTTGTTTGCACAATTTTCCCTCCGTTACTTTTCCCTCCGTTACCATGACCTTTCGTAATAAAAAATCTCATTACTCAAAAAGTAAGAGGTTTTTCAGCCTAATCTTGTACCATATGGTAGAAAACTATATGAAGCAAATATTCAAACCAGTTTGTTAAGGATATGTAAGTGAGAACCAAGAGTTATCACTGTTTGTATTTATTGCCCAAAAAGTGCTGCATATTTCATTCCCTCCGTTACCGACATGAGTTTTTAAAAATTTTTTGTCAACAACTTGAAAGAATATCACAGGTTTAACTTTACCCTGTTGGAGTGTAACTCTTTCCTACATTCTGATACTTTACTTATTTCAATAGTCCCTCTAGTTTCTGAATAAGAGACATTTGAATGTAAAAAATCTGCCCCTGTTTCCCTCCGTTACCACTTGACCGGATCCTATTGTGCTTGTGTCTGCTCTATAATCTACTATACTGTGTTATAATTTGGACATTTTAAATCACAATATTAATCTAAAAAGACTTAATGAAAGAAACAAATCTGTTGACTTCCATGTTAGAAAACTGTGGTGTCCAGTGGGAGCTGATGTTGGTGTAAAAGTCTTCACAACAAAGAGCTGTGTAGTTGTTGGCACCTCCGATGGTTAGCTGCTCATCACACTGGCAAGTAGTGGCTTTTTTTTTTCCATTTGTACTGATTTAAAAAATAAAATTGGAGAATTAAGTAAATACAGAGCAGAGGGCTGTGCCAGGGAAAACAGGGGTTGATTGTCAATATAGCGCCTTGAAAATTAAGAGATTAAAGATTACTCATGCACAAATCTCTCCAAATACAACTTTGAGAGGGTAAAAACATGGTTTAAATCTCTGAAAAGCTGACCTTATATAACAGATCTGCTTTAAGTTCACTCAGTACTGCTCCTAATATTTTTCAATTAAAAATGCAATCTAAAATATTATTTAAAATCATTAGAAAACCTTCCAAATAATCAAGCTCATTACATGTTATCAATTTATAAAGGTCTTAAATTATCAATCTGAAATAATTAATTATGTGTGTGTAATCTCTATGTATACTGTTCATCTGTTCGCATTTATGTATGTTTAAAATAATTGTAAGTATGGCATTAAACCTTTCTATCTTTACAGAGACCAAACCAGACCAAGTTACAGGTCAGATCTGTGGAGAGATGACCCCGCTCACAGTCAGAATGCCTGTTTTTTAAGTATTTTTGAGCTATAAAACCACCTGTAATTGAGTAAATGTAAGGTATAGCTGGTTAATGTCATACTGTGGAACATTCCAAGCAGGGCAGTGACATCTCCATAGAAACAAGCAGCTGACCTACCCCCAAACAAACAGTTACATTTCCATTTGTACCTTTAAAGTCCATTTTCACTCAC